TTATTATCGATTGTGTTATCGGTATATATATCGATTTTGTTATCGTTGTTTTAAGAAATTTTGTTATCGATTTTGTTATCGATATTTTTAATTATTTTGTTATCAATTTTGTTATAGCTATTTATCGATTTTGTTATCGATATTGTTCTCAATTATTTATCGATTTTATTATCGAATTTGTTATTAGTGTTTCTATCAAATTTGTCAGCGATATCTTTTATCGATATTGTTATTGATTTTTTATTGATTATTTATCGATTTTGATGACAGTTGTTTATCGATTTTCTTATCGACTATTTATCGATTTTGTTATCGATATTTTTGTAGACAATTTGTATAGATTTTCTAATAGATTTTTGTTATCGATATTTTAATGGATTTTCTGATAGACTTTGCTACCAATAAGATTATCGATTTTGCTATCAAAATTTTTGTCCAATTTGTCATCGATTTTGTTATCGATATTTTTGTCGGTTTAATTATCAATATTTTGTCGGATGTTACTATCGATTTTGTTATCGATAGAATATAAAGATAAAGATGAAGATAAAGGAAAACAGAATACCATAAATGTTATTAGAACGAACACGGGTAGGGATAGGGATCTAGATAGAAAAAAGAGAAAAAATATAACTTTAAGCAAAAGTAGATAGAAAAAAGAGAAAAAATATAACTTTAAGCAAAAGCTGATGTATATACATGTGTATGTACATACGTACATTTTGCCATGCAAAAATTACTTTCAGCGTTTTCCTAATTATCAAAGTATTTAAAAAACTGATATTTCATGTCATGACTGCATGAAGAATCGCCACCTTGATGCCTTTAAACCAGACAGGGTTTTATCAGGCCCGAGTAGTGATTCAGCTGCTACAAAACTATATCAGAATTTAAGCTTTCTATATCGATATCGTATTCGCAATATTAATTGAGTTTCTCGACAGTTTTTGCTTTTGCAAAATTGGAAAAAGCCAAAAATACCACAAGGTAGAAGCTATGGCTATTCCCGAAATTAGTTATAGAAACATATATCTAGTCTTCAGTGCGATTGTGCTGACTTGGGCATTCGTACAAACTATTTGCGATAATTATCAGTATACATGAGCGAAAAATGAAAGCAAGCGCGCCCACGAATACAATGGAATAACCAAGTGGAGAAGTACTTTTTCTGTACTCGGGAAGAGCGACAAAGAAAGTCAAATGGGGCAGTGGTATTTGGTCTCTGCTGGTAGAAGTTGGTACACATTTTGTTTAAAGAGACAACATTGGATAATTTATACTCGTTTAGGATAAATGAAAGCGAAAAATGGTGCTACCAAAGCAGCTGGATTTTCGCCTCGGGGATTTTTAATGTCAAAATGATGAATTTGTTGTAATTATTATGTCACTTTGCGTAAAATTTTTTAGTGGCATTTTTGTTTTTGAACTTCTGCTGTCACCTTATTATATGAATTCACCTAGGAATAAATTGTATTGTATAATTTGTTGTTCAGAAAAAAGGTAAAATATTACTATTCATAGATACCCAGATTAAATAATACAAAATGTTATCTCTTAGGACAATAGTGTAGGGTTGCCACTTATTTTCGATTCTACACAATTTATCTAAAGCATAGCAGTAAGGACATCCAATGAAAGGTATTGTTGAGAACTTTGGTTAGAAAGTATTTACCATCAGGGTTGCCACGTTTCTATGTTATACAAACTTTTATTTTGTCAATTTCAATCAATACTTTTTTTTTATGTATACACAGTATATATACGATCAAAAGATATGTACCATCAAAAGATATGTACCATCCATTCCAGAGTATTTCGCTATAGGGTTTCCACATAAATTTTATAGTAAGGAATTTGCTCAATAGATATCGAAATCCTTTTTTTTTGGTTTATTTCCAAAATATTTTTTTAAAGCTATCCAAATCATGAAAACTTTAACAAGTATATGCACTTTGGGCAAAGCTTGGTCAACCTGGTACTAAAACAATAATACATTCAACAAAAACGCATAAATATGTAATACATAAAAGTGGACCCGAATTCTGGAATCCGTGATCGAATGAAATACGATTCGAATCGAATGAAACAAAATGACAGCTGTTTTCTCTAAAATACATTTTGAACAGAAACCAGCGAACTCGCTTCCAAAGGCTGTAAAGAAAATTTGGATCCGAATTTGATTCGATCACGGATGCCTGGATTCTGGCCCCATTTTACATTAAAACAAACAATTACTCTGCATTTAAAAATTTTTTGAAGTTTTGAAATGTTTTAAGTTTGCACATCATTCGTTTGGCAGTCTCCCACAAAAAAAAGTATTGACAACGAAAAGTATTTCCATAAATAGTTGATAGAGATACAATTTCACTTTTAAATTGGTTATGGTCAGTGTTAACTTTTCATAATTATTTTAGTTATATTCCATATTAAAATATGTATGTTTTCTTTCGAGAAAATATTGATCGATTTTTAGGCAAAAATGATAGAAAATAAAATACAGCTAAAAAATACGTACATCTACCAAGAAAGTGGTAAAGTCCGTGCACTCTACTAGAGTACTACATAAAAATCAAACCACTTCCATCACGAATTTTAGAATTAATGAGATTTAAAAAGGTGCAATTTTTATAGTTAAAGAAACACTGAACTAAATTTTGATGAAAAATCGTTTAGGCATTTCTGCGCAGCCATGATTCTTAAGCTGGGATCCCACGATTGCCGCAATACACCAATTATTGCCTCATTTTATGCCCCAATCGTGTGATTTCACAGTAAATTGACTCATGCGGCAATAGAGGCCGATATTGTGCTTACTGTGCCCAATCAAATACGGCCCGTATGCGGCAATCGTGTGATAGCTCGATTGGCAATCATGGGGCAATGAAAATTTCAAAATTGCGGCAATATTTATTGTGTTCTTGTGCGGCAATTGAAGTGAACAATACACAACAAAATATTTAGGCTGTTTATTAATAATTTATTTTTTGCTTCCTTATGTGTCCAAAAATCACTGAAATGATATCCTTGTTTTCGGATGCAAAATAACTTTTAATTTAATTTGTATTCAAATTATAATTTTTCTTGAAGTCTGATGACGGAATCTTTGCTGCGATATATACCACCACAAGCAAAACTCATACGAGAAGAATACGAAAGATGTTTTATGTCACCAATTGGCGAACTGCCATGACAGTATAAATTTGATTTAAAAAAAACTTAAAAGTTCAATACAGACCACGACAAAACGGTAGAACTTCAACATTTCGACCAGTCTTGACTATTTTTCTTCTATTTATTTAATCTTCATTATTTTTGTTAAAAGTATAGCTCATTGTCTCACAAAAACTGCATAAATCCAAATTGCAAGCTTTATACAAAAATTATAGACATTTCTTAAACTTTTGAACACAATCCCACGGTTTTTAATTTGGATTTCTAGAAAAAAAAAATGTTATTTAGTTGTATAGCTCATTAAAATTTAGTATAAGGTGGAAGTTTGAAGTTGCTAAAAAATCCTGTTGATTTTTTATAATTTTTTTAGCTGACGGTATTATGCACTTTCTTCTCTGTAAATTACTTTGTAAACTGCAAAACAAAATTTTTTCTAGAAACCCAAATTAAAAACCATTGAATTGTGATCAAAATTTTAAGAAATGTTTATAATTTTTGTATAAAGTTTGGAATTTGGACTTATGTGGTTTTTACTAGACAATGAGCTATGGTTTTATAGGAAAAAATTAACATTAAACAACAGAAGAAAAAAGTCAAGACTGATCAAAATGTTAAGGTGCTATCTTTTCTTGCGCGCTGTACACATAATTATAAAATTTCATTCAAAACATAAATTATGTATATTCGCAGCTTTCATTTATACAAACATAACTATTTTGTACCAATTTACTTGTAATGAGTAAAAAACCTCTACGTAACAAAATTAAAACGAAAACTGTTGCAACTTGAACTCCACATAGAACGTTGCAGTTATCGTCGAAAAATAAAAAACTATACACTCAAACTTCTAAATGAATGCGTGAGTTTTCATTGGACACAAGTTTTTGCTTCTTTGCTTTCAAACAACAACAAATTTGCACAAAATGAGCCCGCAATATACAAAGCAGATGCAATTGATTTATTTTTTTTTTTTAAGAATACGCCATTTTTACACAACAGAGAAAAAAAACAGAATTTAGAGGTCAGCGCAACACTTTATGGTCACAATTGCCGCATGCTCGAACAATCGTGTGATAAGTTTGGGGCAATTATTGTCACTATATTGCTTTTCGCCAACTTACGGCAATGAGAATTGTATANCAATCGTGTGATAAGTTTGGGGCAATGTTTGTCACTATATTGCTTTTCGCCAACTTGCGGCAATCAGAATTGTATAAAAAGGGGCAACCGTGTGACTGTACAGAATTTGATTGGGACAATTTTTTTATTGTGCTCCAATACAGCACAATAAAAATTGTTCCAGATTGGTCCATTTGCGGCAATCGTGGGATCTCAGCTTTACGCTGAGTTTTCACTAGGCATTAAATGACAAAATTTTTAATAACAATATTTGGCATTAGAAAATACAAGTACCAATATATACATATAAAGAGTCATTATATCTTTTTCCGCATGGAATTTTTTAAAAGAAATACCGTTTTTCCATTGTAATGCCTTGTGGTAATTCAGCATTACCGAAAATATACCAGATTGGTTAAAAATGTAACCTATATATGTTGCTGTGATGGCAGATACTTAATTTGATATTATCTAAAAAAGCACACATTTATACCCTCAGGACTACTGCCCCGGCACTTTCATAATTACTCGCAATCCGAGCCCAAATGTGCATACGTAAATTTAGAGCAACCTTTAAGAAACATCTTTCATTTGCAATATAAATTTATACCTAGGTACTTGTCCTAACAAATTTTTCATTTACACCCATAAGTTATTTGTTTTGACTATCATAAATTGTAATTCATTTTCTGGTTTACTTTGCCTTTCAGCTGGAATTTCGGTACGTTTGTTTGCGATTTGTGGAACAGTTTGGATGTCTACTTCTCAACCGCGAGCATTTTGCATTTGTGCTGCATATCCGTGGATAGGTGAGTACTTGCATACCTAAAATATATAAAAACACTGAAAGGTATCTTAAAACTGACACTAATGTATATACTTGTCATCACAAATACAAATATTCATATTACATTTAACTATGCTTACTTATGTTATATCCCTATAAACTTTCGGACTCATCTTGGAGAATTCTGAGTTCTAAGCCTCATTATTAGCTCACAAAAGAGTCAGCAAAGAGCATACTTCCCTTCTCAGAAGGGCACGCTAATATGAGTCCAAGTTGGGAGTCATATTAAAGTCTGAAGTATGACTCTTTCTGGGTCTAAACAAGAAATTTTCTTATAGGCGGCATACACGGTGCGTTTGACTCGCGAGTCGGTTTGGATGTGTTCGTGAGAATAATTATGTATTAGTTACACCGACATGACTCTGGCCTGGTCATGAGTTACTCAACTGTGTGTAGTCGAAAGGCGAGTCAACTCGTACATAAATGAGAAATGAGTCAGTCAACCAGACCGGTCTCAGATTCATTTTTATGTCGAAAGAAATACTCATTTTAGACTCATAAATTCTGAGCACTCCGAATACTGTTTAAGGGGATGTATGTAGCTTATTGCGACTATTTGACAAACCATAAATTGGACTGCCAGAATTTTAACTACTTACCTCATTGAAACTTTCGTCTTAACGTTTGCCCCACATATTCGCTGTTTAGTTCCAACTATTTCGAGCATCTCGAAGGATGTCCGGCTTGCGGCTAATTTCGCAACTCCATTTTCAACTGTTGTTGTAACCACTACAAACTGTCATTGCCAAAACCACATAGACAGTTCAACATTCGCAAGAGAATAGAATTTCTGCATTAATCAACAAAATATCTCAGTAGGCGCGCATGGACTGCATATGCGCTGACACATACATATGTATATTCCTGTTTGGCCTCTCCTCTCCTCCGATTTGTGGCGTGCGCCTTGATGTTGTCACACAAAGGGGAAGGACCTACAATTTTTGCCGACTTCGAACGGCGATTGTAATTTTATGAGAAGCTTTTTTTCATGACAGAAATACCGCTGTTAAGAAATAACCTTTTTTCAAAATTTTTTGCGATGTTTCTTTGACCATGGCTTAAGCCCAGGCACTGCGGAGTGGAAGCGCGCACTGCTTACCCCTACACCACAGCGGCATATACATATATGGATATGTGTATCTATACAAACATATGTATATGTATACCTACATATTTATGCATGTACGTACATTAAGGTGGTCAAAAAAAATTGCCAGATACCGGGGCACCTTCCCAAATTTATAGTCTTGCCGAATGAGGTGCTGGCAGCAAACTATACTTTTTTAAGTATAAATTTAGACGATGCTCATGAAACGTTTATATTTTACTCTAGAAGTATATTGTACACATTTTAGCCAAACGATTGGTTAAGCAACCTAAGAATATTTAGAATATTTCAAATTTATAAAATATTACAAGCTCAGTTGTCTTGTCAACAGTGGCTCTTTATAAAGAAATCGCCAATAATTTTGCAAGTTTCAAAGGAATTCAGAAGCGCATTTCGAGGCCATTGAGCAGCCAGTATTGGTTACAGTAACTGAAAGGAGTTATAGATGTTACAGATATCAAAAGGGTAGAAACTGATACACACATGTGTATTTGAGTGGCCATATCCTGCAAAAATCTTTGGACCATGTGGTCCATTTTTGGCATATTGGAATACTTACAAAATACTGCTATGAAATGCAATAGCGGACCAACTCGGGTCTCTACACCAGTACCCGATTATTGGGCTATGTACTCCATGGAGTAACCCCATGGAGAAGTGTTATGCTAATCTGTATTACAGAGCTGGAGTTCAGGTTTCACCTGAGGTAGCACGTAATTTTGCTGCACATCTCTATCTGAACGTTTGCTAATCATTTCACTCTATTCCTGTATAATATTTGACATTGCTCAAAGTCGCTACCATCACCTACTAATATGTTCAAATGTGCACTCACATAGTGATTGGTGAAAGCTGATTAGCACACCTAATCAGCGGCGCTGTGTCATTTAGTGTGTATTTTATGTGTACTACAGATGCTTTAGCTGGTGTTATGCCTAATTTTGATAATACACTTCTACAATTACCATAATATTGTAAGCCATTACAATATTTAAGTAGCCCTTTAAGGATAATGTCCTTATGTTTGTAAGTGAAGCAAAAGACAATTTTGTTAGATATCACTTTTTTGTTTTCAATTGTCCATCAATTTGATTCATGGCAGTTTATAAACCAACTACTTTTATATCATCGCTGGGCGCGCATTAGCTCGTATCCGCCACATGCAATACCGCGTATGAGCTGGCATGGTCTCAACGATTCCCTACATTACAAACCATTCAAAAGTGTTGAATTAAGTAAGTTTCTTCGTTTTTTTGTTTTCGGACTAACTTATACGAGGTATTGCATTTTTCGGATACGAGGTATTGCACTCCAAGCGACGATATAACATACATTTTTCGATAACAGATAGGATTATACCTCAACCTTTTTCTATTAGCTTCATACCACTGAGCCATAGTCGGTGGAGAGCAAGTTAAATAAGGTAGAATTTCTACCGTTTCATCACCGCCTACAACATTAAAAAGGCATGATTAAACCGGCAGACTTTTCCTTTTAATTACCTAGTAGTCCACAGGAGCACCTTTTGAAATTCGTGCTTCTCTGGTGCATCTCAAGCTGGACATTTTGAATGGTTGAACCCGAGTAAGCAAAGTTCTCTTATCTTCAAAATTAAAGTGGTTAAGTGTGACCTAGTTGGGCGACTGTTCCTTACGTTCACTTTCAGATCAGTACGCTTTACTTCAGAATAAAAATCGAGGAAAGCTCTGCGCACACAACTGCTGTCATCAACAAAGTATGTAGCCGCATCAAGGTCCCAAGTCGCTCGCCGGAAGTACTTGGGGCAAAGACAAAGAAACGTTGCTGGAAATATACAAGACAATCGACCGGCCGGTGCTCAATTATGCTGCACCTGTTTGGTCCCCAGATACTAGTTGGACGCGGTGGAGGCGGCTACAGACGTGTTGCCGCACTCCGGACAGCGACAGGATGCTGCCTTCTGATGTTGCTTGAACACCACCTGCATAACGGGAGCATAACGAAATTCTCAGTGGGAGTGTCACAGACGTGAACATCCCCTTGCTCGAGAAGGAGGGTCCGCATCATGCATTGGCGAAGCACTTGAGCCGACGAGGGTTCAACGGCATTCATAAGGAAGTGGGTCATCGACCCATGAGTGCCGTGATTGGAGTCTAATCTCCACCAATCGCAGACTCGGAGCTCGAATTGTCAAGAGAGACCCACGCTACTCTAGCCCAGTTATGATCTGGATATTGTAGCCGTCTCAACAGCTACCTATTCAGACTCGACTCCATTATCCCTGATTGTTGTCCGGCATATGGAGACCGCCCACACCAACCCAACCACCTCTTCACGTCCCTGCTCAATCCCACCCAACTAACTCCCCTCTACTTTTGGTCCGACCCCGACGAATTAGCTCACTTCTTGGGCCTATCATTAATTGAGCTTAAATACAGCGATTGACGAACAAACCGATTCAGGCGCGGCTGAGGAGAGTCGCTGCAATCCATAGAAACATGCAACAGCTGAAAGAGACCCTTTGGAATTTTGTTTCTCATTAGTCATAATTCATTGGTCACATGCTGCAAACCGCCGAATGTCTAACAATATTTTCTCACGTTATTTTTGTTCTATTTTCGCATTGCACCCGGGAGACAATTCTAGTGCCATGAAATTGTGAAGTGGAAATGAAAATTTAAATTGTCCATTTCATTAACATCCATAAAAGAATTATTTGGTAAATTATTTTGAGTTTAAGACTCACAGCCACAAAACTTTATGAAAAAGTATTCACAGTTAAAACTTCGCGTAATTAAGAAAATTTATATATTTTATACTAAATACAAATTAAAATTGAAAGTAATTGCAAATAGAAACAATTTGAATCACCTACACTAAGAAACAATAGTACTAAATCTCTTAACCAAATTTGGCAAGAGTGTTAAGCCTTTAAATTTCTCAGTTCTTATTCTCAAAATAATTTATTTTCAAGCGGTTTTTTCAATCAATTTGCAACGCTTGCTGACGTAGAGATTTCTCAAGCAAAGATTTACTTAGGTATGAACATATATATGTATATCAAATTAAACTAACCGCTAGGTGATGCCCAGAAGAGGTGCACGCAGTCAACATCGCGGGCACCTGCGAGCTCGCTAAAATATTATGCTTCCATGCTAATACGAGCAACTTACCCATATGAGTTGGTTTGAGCATCACTAAACTAACCAATTGTCCACATACATACATATGTACCTACCTACATACATACATACATAGAAAAGGTGAGAGGAACATTCCAATATGTATCAGGTGAAATTGAAACCTTGTCAAAAATCACCTATAGATCAAATTTAAATTTCGCTTGTCAAAAATCTGTCAAAAAACTTTAATCTTATTATTAGCATACATGAAAATATACATAAGCATATATATATAGTTATATGTCGACATACATATATATGTATCTAGTCTCGAAATTCAAAGTTTCCCAGTCGGACTCATCAGAGTATGAGTTTTAAATATGGAAAAAGTAATATCTATATATATGTATATAATACACGAAGGGATTTTTTGTTCCACATAAAAGATCTGCACCCTTCGTTCGATTTTCAAAAATGGGGTGTCAAATTAAAGCACTTAGCCCTGGTTTTATTTTTTCGAAAGGAGTTGCCACCTGATAAAAAATTGCATTCAAAAAATTTAATAATCAATGCCATCAGATCCACCGTTCGTTCGATTTTCAAAAGTGAGTTACCAAATTAAAGGGCTTAGGGTGTGGATGTTAAAGAAGAAACTTTTTCGAAAAAAGTTGCCACCTGTTAAGAAATTAAGCTCAAATTATTACCAATCGAAATGGTTTGGGAGGGTTGCCACATGTTAAAAAAATGTAATTAAATTTTAATTAAAGGAATTTGGTAAGTGAATAACGTATCGCTATATGGGTGTCATACAAAAGCGGTTTAAGAAGGTAGTAGTTTGAAAGTATTTTGAATAGGGTTGCCACCTATCTGAAATATTAACAATGAATGTCAAATGAAAGAGCTTCAAGAAATACTTAGTTTGACAATTTAGAACATTTTTGATGTGTCTGAGGGTTGCCCCAGTTTAAAGGGCTAAACTAAAATTATTTAATAAGTTAAATGAGTTACTAACCGATGGTTATCAATGGAAATGGGTTTAAAATCCTTTCGGGAGTTAACATGAATTTCTATCTAAAAAATGTTTATGAAAATAGAATTAACTTTTTCAATAGCTCTTAATTCATAAAACGCGCTTGAATTCATTCTACGATTTTACACTGGGGTTCTTGAGCTTGATATCTTCAAAAATATGTGCATACACACGTATTTGTGTTCGCTGTTTGCGCGGATGAAGGATAAATCAAATTTCGTTCGACGCACACAGCTGTGCTTAGTCAAACTCGCTGAAGTGTAGCAAGTAGGTGACATCAGAACTTAAATTCTAACATCTACTTACATATATTACATACATGTGTATGCATTGGAGTGAATGCAAAAGTGTACATAAATATATGTATAAGTATGTCGCAAAAAGGGAAGTTGAGGGCGGCAGAAGACATACAATGCTAATTTGAAATGAAAAATATATAAAAATATATATGCCCAAATACAACTGTGGTACTTGCAACATGTGTTGCACGCGCTTGAGTATGCCACGTAACAAGGCCAAAGATATATTTACGTTTGTGATTTGGTTTTGTTTGATCGCTCTTACAACAACATATCTACACAAGGATGCAGGTTAATATACAAACAGTAGAAAGCAGAAAGTTCAAATAGGATTTTTCAGTAAACATAGAAATGCTGACAATTTAGACTACAGAGCAGCAGACTGAAATTTAAAAGATTTTTGTCACAGAAATCACAATTAAAGCATATCAAAAACACATGAATCAGTAGATGGTTTGGGAGGCGAGAGGAGAGTCTCAAAAAAGCAGAAATATATAGTTATTTAAGTACATACGTACATATATGTTCATTAGACTGTGTCAAATTAAATGATTGCTTTGTTTCTCTCGTTCCCACATGAGAATTTCGGTGGCCGGTCACAAAAAAATTATCTAAAATTTTCAGTTAGCGCTCGCCAAAAAAAACATCAACCAACCAAATTTTTTTTTCAACTTTTTTTAATAAAAAATGAAGTATAACAAATAAAAAATATTTAAAAACTCTTTCCAATGTAGAATAACAATATGGTAACAAATGAAAGAGAAAATACTTTAGAATACAAAAAAACAAATTAAAATTTTTTATGTTCGCAAGGACGAATTGGTATTGAAAATGCCCTTTTAATTAATTTAATTTTTTTAACACTTATATACAAAGCACCTCTGAGCATCTTATATATTTGTATGTAATACCTATACCAACTTTCAGTTTTCTACTGCAACCAATGCAGGGTGCTCAATAACCTTGAAATGTGCTCCTAAATTGCTGTGAAACTGGCAAAAATATTAGTGATTTTTATAAAAAGCTACTGTTGTCATGACAACTGAAGCTTGTGCGATTTTTTTAGATAATTTAAATTTGAAATGTTTTTTGATTAATATATGTACACAATACTTCTAGAGTAAAATATGAGCATCATGAGCATATATATGTACATAGAAACGTAAGGTTTGGTACCAGCACCTCTTTCGGCAAGAGGAAAGAAGATTTTGGAAGGTGCCCCAAACCCTACCTTCGAAAATTTTTTTTGGACCACTCTAATGTATATACTTATGAATACAACTTAAAAAAATATTGTACCAAATTATTTATGCTTATGTTTATATATAAATTTTATTTTGTGCGTTCTCTGGTTGCACCACGCTCTCTGCGAGTTCGCGCGGCACGCGGCATGAAGGCAAAAGCACCCGTGGTAGGAGCGAAAAAAATAATAACTAGCGACTCCGTGCAAGTTTCGTTTTTTTCTTTTAAATAATGTATTATAGAATAAGGAATGATATTCAATGTAAACGATTAAAAAATCTGATCGAGAAGTAATAAATATTTCTATTTGTTTATACATATTTTTTTTTAAATAAAAATTGTATACAAAATAATGAAACAATCAGGCTAAAGCCCGTCCAATTAACTATTATCGTGGAAAATATCAGCAAGATATATGCTATGAATCAGTGGATAACAAATAATTACTGAAGTCATCAAAAAAATGTTAATAACAATAACTCTTGTAAAAATTCGAATTTTGCAAAATTGTTCAAATTATATTTTTTTCATTTATTTCAAAATTTATTTATTTTTAAGTCATTTAAAAATATTCGGACGTCAGACAGAAAACAAAAAACGCTGTTTTACTAAATTTTGCTCATCGCTTCGCGAATATATCGATTTTTGTGTATGTAAAATTTACTGTTTTTTAATTAAAAATTTTGTATTTTTGCGAGCGCTAACTGAAAACCATTTTTTTTTTACTAACAACGAAATTTTCATATGGCACCAAAAGAAAAAAATATTTGTTTTATTTGACACAGTCTAATGTACATACACACATATATAAATATGTACTTATGCTCAACAGCATATTCTGAAGTTAAGGCTAACCATTAGCAATTATGGTTTTATTTGATTGCCTCTTCTGGTTTTTCTATGACCGCTTTCGACAATCAAATTCAAATCACACACACAAAAATCAAAAACGCATATTTCAATAGTAGGTCCATCACGCTGATGATATCAAACACTTTCTGCATTTGCAATTTTCGTCTTGCTCTGTTTTATGAGTTAATTCACTGTGACGAGCGAATTTAGTGCAGTTACTACATTTTCATACTTCGCTTTTATACTCGTATTTACACACGTACATGTGTACGTACGTATGTATAAATATTCAATATTATTATTTTTTTTTTCTCTCCCTCACAGATATTATGCGATTGTAAAACCGCTCAAGTACCCGATTAGCATGACAAAACGTGTCGTATTCATCATGATATTGAATACGTGGGTTTCGCCAGCGCTCCTCTCCTTCTTGCCCATATTCATCGGTTGGTATACGACAGAGGAGCACAAAGTTTTTGTCAAACGTCATCCGGATCGTTGTGAATTCATTGTCAATAAGCCATATTGTGTTATATCCAGCTCAATTTCCTTCTGGATCCCCTGTACAATTATGATATTCACGTATTTGGCGATATTCCGTGAGGCGAATCGTCAGGAGAAACAAATGATGGCGCGTCATGGCAATGCGATGTTGATGCATCGACATTCGGTGGATACGCGCGGAGGAGCTAGCAATAATACAGGTATAAATTTATAATAAGCAAAAATTTTTTAAAATAAAGTAAAGAATTAAGCGCGGGAGTATGAGTATGTAACTACTAAAAATGGTTGGTGGTAAAAAATTCAAAATTACAAAAAGTGCGAGACAGTGACACTTGAAAAGGTAAAGACAGTGACAATGACAATGACATGTAAATTTACAAAAGCAATGACAATAACAATAACACTGCCAATAATACTAGCAATGACAATGATAATTACGTACATAAGTACATCCATGCATATTTTTAAGAAAACACACACCGCTCTGTACGAAACTTCGTCTAAAAGTAAAAAAGGATACAAATCTAAATTGGAGCTGAAACACTAATACCAATGAAAGTCATAACCTCACTATACGGCCCGATGGAAAAGATGGGGCCTGTCACCAAGTATAGTATACACTGCATATTCTTTATGGATTTATCATTTGTTGGCCAGTTTTATATGAATCTACATTGAAGAGTAAACTGCAGAGGGTGAAGTCTAGTCTAGTGTACCTCCATGCTATTAGCTGGTGTCCTGCCCTATTCCACAGGTAAAGCTTTTGAACTCGGATTGAAACTGGCACAACGCAATTATATAGATTTTACGCAGAACTCCGGTGAAACTGGTTTATGTTAATCCCGTTTTGTGCTAAGAAAACAAGCTCTCTCTGGAATCCCTTTGAGGAATTAGTTGCGAAACTAAACTTAATTTTAAATCTTCCGCTAGTTTTGCCGTTGGGTGAAAGCTGAGCAAAATGTTTGGCATTGGAATGCACTCAACATAAATATCACTGAATCTAAACCTTCAGCTCATTAAAAAACTTAATGTTTTTAAAGCTGAATTAACCATCAATAAATGCGACTGATCCTATGCTACGTAATGCCTCAGTATCGATGCCGTCTATACAGGCAACCAAGCTGCTATCAGATTCTTACTGTGCCTTAATAATACACAGCGAATTGTTAATAGTTAAGCGAAAGATTCCAGTCGTTGGATTGATGGCAGAAAAATATTAGACTCAATGAAGAAATATCTAATACTACGAAGTGCAACGGACCTCCATTAGTTAAGTGGAGTATCATTAGTTTTTAATGAGTTTGCGCGGAAAATGCCTGGGCTATCAAGTTAATTCTTAAACTTCTGCGATATCAAGAGCTACCGCTAAAGCACCATTTTGATCTAGGTTGGAATCTCTGGACAACCGGAACCATGAGAACCGACTCACGAGCCATCACAATCAGTAAAGCTATTCTGCTCCCCCTACGCTATGAATATGGAGTTCCTATTATTTGCAGTATTTATGATTGTAACTAATTTAAAACTATCATTGAATATAGTCACGTAAATACTTTAAATAATAGTACAGAAAAAATACAAAAAAAAAGGAACAGTCCAGCGCCTTCGTCTTGGCCTGCAGGCTGTATCGGAGATACAGCCGCTAAATTTAAACGTAGAATACGTGGTATGGTTAAGAGCATATCCAAGTAAAAAAACAAAAGCACACACTAAGCAAAAAATATCGATAACAAAAGCGATAATAATATCGGTAGCAAAATCGATAAAAACATCGATAAAGAAATCGATGAAAATATTGATATCAAAATCGAAAAAATATCGAAAGCAAAATCGATAGCAAAATCGATAACAATACTGATTACAAAATCGATTACAAAATCTATCAAAATATCGATTA